ACTTGGCCTCCTTGGGCCTTAATTTCTTTACCTGTTAAATGAAAGAGTTGGCATATATGACCTCCTAGTTATTTTCTAGCTCAAAATCTACAATCCATTAGTAGTGATCTAGCACCAACCAGAGCTTTCTTCTAACTTTCCTTTTGTTATCCTTTCCCTCCCCAGAAACACATGCTGAAAGAAGGAAAAGGCCGGATGCTTCAAGCCATCAGTCCCAAGCAGAGCCCAAGCAACAGCCCCACTCGTGAACGTTCTCCTTCTCCCTCCTTTCGATGGCCCTTCTCTGGCAAGACTTCTCCACCCTCCTCCCCTGCGAACCTGTCAGTACACAAGGCTGTTCAGTATGACATAAGTGAAGATGATGAAGAGGACTAATTTGCCATCCCATCTCCCTTCTTCCTTTCTCTGTCCTTGTCACCTCCAGCTGTCTTTTGAATTCCAGATTGTCAATTCCAACACTAAACTCAAGGACAGTTGTAGGCAAGGGAAGGAGGACCTGGGACAGAGATCAAAATAGCCTGTCCTCCAAAAGGCATCACCTTGAGAAACAGAGGAGGGACTGCCTTAGAAGCCTCTCTTCCATTCCCCTGCACCAGCCTCCACGGGGACATTGCTTTACTGTTTGCATTCAGATAATCTTGAAGGGAAAAATATAGTTTTTATTAATTTAAAAAATAGCCTTTTAAATGTAATAAGTGGAGCCCCAACCAAGAGAGGAAAAAGATAGTATTGTTCCCAGAGGCCTTTTTTTCCCCTTAATTCACTATAATTTTATTTCTGCTCTGAAGCAGACTAGCTTGCCAAGTCCTTACACCTGATGTGAGCCGTGCCAGATGTGGCTTAGGGAAAATGATATGAACTTCCTTATAATTTGATTTCCATTTTTTTTCTATTAATTTTTGAAGGCGAAGCTGACCTCTTGAAGTCACAAATACCCTAAGCTCATTGCTGGCAAATGTGCTGAGGTGTAGTAGGGAGTTCTCAGAGGAAGGTCTCTGGGTCTGTCTCTTTTCACTCCTTGAGATGGGTCTGCTGGAAATATGCTACCGTTGTGCTCCCTGAGGACAATGGGTAGAGGGATAATTCATCAAGCAGTTTCCCTGAAATTTTAATCTTTTCAGAAACTCATCTCCAATTTACCAAGCTGCCTAGGAGCCCTTGGTGGGCTTTTGCCTCTTTCTCTCTATGGCCTGCTTTTAGAGCACAGAGCATACTGTGATATTTGTGTAGGTGTGCACTCACATGTACACATTCATATGCAAACTCAGCTTATAAATTGAATTCCAGTGGGGAAACAGTCTTGTACTCAACTATTCCCATATCTAGGACTTTACCTTGCTTCTACCAAAAAGGATACCACTGTGAGTGTTTGAAGGCTTTCAGTGTGTTCTTTTAATCCGTGTTCCCATGTCCTCATTTAATGATTGTAGAAGAATCCTTGGAGTTTGGGAACAAAGTCAAGGACCTGCCTCCCTTTCTCTAACTGTAGCCTCACTCTCTTATCTCTTTTCCTCAGAACTTTCTTAACCTTGGTCAGTTCTCTTCATCTCTTCCTTCCCCTCTGAGACACAGAGCAAACAGGGACTCTTCACCTCTTCTGCAAAGCAGAGCCCATGTTCCTTTCCCAGGGATGAGACCTGAGTTAGGTGCAGACCTCCCTCTCTCCCTTCCACCCACTGTTCACCTGGGCCTGACTCAGCCCTGGGGAGTGTCCCAAGGAATGCAGATGCTTAAGGCTGTGCTGCTGCTGCTGCTGCTGCTGCTGCGCATGTGCCTCTTTCTTAGCTTCACCATCCTGCCTCCTCAACCAAATGACCAGCAGAGCAGCTGCTGCCTACCCCAGTGCTCATGTAGTGGGTCCATGGGAAGACTGCTTATGTCTGCCTCTGCTCGGTTGCTCATCAGTGCCCCTTGTGGGGGTGGAGTTTTAGTGTTTTCAGCTACGAAAACCACAAATTGCTTTCTGTGTTTGTCCACGTGTTGGGGCTGTTTGCCTCCCATGGCCTCGCACGTGAACACTTTCTAATAAAACCTGTTTTTTGTGCCTGCTAGATGACAAGTAATTGTCATAGGATTTACACTGTATCTACCCAGCAAGGCAGCTAGAATTCTTAAGATTTGAGCTGCCTGGAGAGGCTGCTGACATATCAAAGTGAAGGAAATCAGTAGAGGAAGACTTCCTCTGGATTCCCCAGTGGCTTATGGAAACTGTGTTTCTGATGAAGCGCCATTTTTATTCTGGAGCCTTTTGGTTCTAATGAGTTTTGGTTTGGGATCCTCTGAAACATTTAAAATCAGTTTCTTCCCTTGCTATGCTGCTTCACGGCTTCATTTGATCAAGTGTTAATTTAACTTCTTTGTTTCAGCCAGGCAGGTTTCCCGTATTAGTGATATTGTTTCTGTCTAGGACATTCTTCCTGGTACAGATTTTTCATTTTCTGAGGCTATGTATTTGAAGGCTGGTGTTACTGCTGAAATCTGTCCTCAAGGTCTTTTATGGTACATCCTCTGGAATACCCTTAGTATCTTGAGTTTACAATTTCTTCTCTCTTAAGATGTGTATTTACAAAGAGAGACTCTCAGAATATAGTTTTTCCTACTTTCAGTTGTCCACCAGAAGTATATTCACTTGGGGGTTTTAGCAGATAAAACATACCCCTCTGTGCCAATGACTGGTGGGCTACTCTGTTTGGATATGCCCCCTTGTTAGCAAGTAACCTTTAGGCAAATTGTTTAGCCACAGAATTGTTAAGCCTGAGTTTGTGTTCAGCACTACCTTTTGACCTGTCTCAAGGAGACGTCATCCAAACACAAACAGCTTTTCATAATGTTAAGTCTTTTTGTAGCCAGAGCTGTTTGTCTGGATACCTTCAAGTCTACATTTCAACGTCTTTGCACCTGGGGAAAGGAGAAACCAAGAAAGGAGAATAATTGATACCACTGGAATGATGCCTCTTTGGCTTTACCTAATTAAATGAAATTAGAGTGGAGAACTCTTTGTGCCATGATTACCCCTTTGTTTTATGAAGGTGTAGGGCTGTGTCTCAGTGTCTGTGGATCAGTGAAAGCAGTTGGCCCAAATGGGATGGATGAGGTGGACATAACATAGCCTTAATAAAGGGATTAGAGCTAGGTAATGGTCTGCAGGTTAGAAAGAGGTGTTTGTTTCAGTCCAATAGATGCCATGAGACTAACATTAAGGATGGGCTATTTTAGTAGCAGCCTCACTGTGGACTGGGCAGAACATCTATTTTCTACTTTGGCAAACTCATCAGTCACCACAGCAGTGACGAAACGAAGTGTGGGAATTTACATGAGAAAATAGAAGGGGATTGTTTCTCCTCCTTTGGCTTCTCCTGAGAAGGAGTCAAAAAGCAGACCGTGATCAAAGGCTTAGGTGAAAATATGAACCAGAGGGTTCTGTAAATTATGGAGAGAGGTTTAAAAAAAAAAAAGGGAAGATCAATACACATCATTAATAAAGGGAATAAGTAGCTTCTTTCTCTGCCACAAGAACACCTTAGGCTGTACCATAATTAAATTTTTTTTTCTTTACCTGGGGCCAAGCACCTAGTAAGTAGCATTGATGCGGACTCATCTCCATGGTACTTCTTTGCAGTATTTTGTTTTTCCATCTTTGGACTGTCTTGATCTGAGTGTGACTTCCTCTACAATGGTGTTTGATGCTTTTAGTACCTTAACTCTGGATCTATTCCCCCGTAATCTCTTCAACTCAAATACATTTGCCTCTTTCTCCTGTCAAAAGCCATAGCTCTCAAAAATTTTTTCTATATACAGTATCATAGGGAGCCTGATCAATGCAGATGGGGGAAAAAAAAGATTGATGTTTTGTAAGTAATTATATTTTTTTTAACTCATCAATATAAGTATTTATAAGAATCTATATTTTTCAGTCATACCACAGTGATTTGTATTTTTTTTCTTCTCTTGGAGAACAGGTTGTCATGGGATGGTCCCTCCTAGCTGTTATTTTTCCAGATTAATAAATGGGACATGGTCTTGGGGTTATGATATTAAAATACTAATTTTCTTTTAAAAAAAACCAGCATTTTCTTTCTGCCAAAGTCTTATGTAGGTTTATACTTGGCAGGGACAGGTAGGTAAAAAGTGAAAGCATCCATTTTATATTAGGTTCCAAATTGAAATGACTCAGGTTAAGTTCATTCAGATTGAACATGGGCCTTCCTGACCCCATAAACAAAGATGTCACCTTAGATTGTTTTCAGGTTGAGGCTCCTGGGGGAAAGGAATTTGTCTTGAAAAGAAACACAGTTCGGCATGAATGTTAACTTCATCAGTAATGCCACGGAGTCCAAAGGAAAGTTTTCCTCCATTGGTGTTTAGTCTATCAGTTTCTGTCTGTGTGTTGTTTATCTGTTCAGAGTTGTTTTGGCTTTCGTCATTTAGCCAAATAAATGCAAAGTGATTTTAACCAATGTTCTCATACCGTGTGGTTTTGACTTTGTGTGGTGATGTACTGATTTGGGGAGACAGGGAGGTGGTACCTCTTTTCGCCTTTCCCTTTCCACACTGCAGCTCTTTGTTCCTAATTTGTATTATCATATTGTGCAGGCTGGATAACTGTGTATTACTTCAGGGGCAATCTTGTTATAGCCTGATAGGGAAGCTTCACCAGATTTTTGCTGCACAGAAATGAAACCTAGCCCTAGTGTCTAGATAATGCTTTTGTAATCGTATAGCAAAAGGCATAGTTTCCATTTTCATTTTGTTCTTACCCCACAGTCTGATTTCTTTAAGGCTTTGCGCATGGCTAAATTGTATTAATTATGTGCAGTTTCAAAGGATCTGTTGCATTCTGGCAACACTAGCAAACTTATTTTTCATTTGCTTTGGGCTATGTCCCAGATTGGTTATGGTAACATTTTATATACAAGTGGACTTTTGAGTATTCTGGCTTTAGGTTGGACTGAGACCTTTATGTATGCTGCTCCCTATCCCCCAAAACAAAACCCTTAACATTTTCAGAGTTTAAAACCCCATCATTTAATTTTTTTTATAAAATAAAATATTTTCTTCCTGCCCCGCCCCCCAACACTTTATCATGTTAAAATATTCAACTTAATCTCTGTAGTTATTTGCAGCCTATATAATGACAGTAAGAATGTCCTTATTCTTGTCACATCTGGACCTTTGCATTTTTGGTGGCTCCAGCCATCGTTTGGGGGAGCCATGGTCTGGGTGTGTTCAAGCTTCGGGTTCAGAGGATGGTTCCAGAAAAGAGAAAGGTTCAAACCCCATTTTATCGTCTCGTTTCCGATAGAATATTCTTGTCATAACGGTTAACAGAGAGGTCTGTACTACCAGAAAGTGGCAGTTCATCACTACAAAACATAACATGGATTGCATTGAGAAACAAAGGCAGTATCTTGCTGACAAATTCAAGTCTAATTAGCCTGTTGAAAGGATTGTTGTTCAGTCATTTCAGTCATGTTCAACTCTTTGTGACCTCATTTGGTGTTTTCTAGGCAAAAATACTGGCATGGTTTGTCATTTCCTTCTCCGGCTCATTTCAGAGATGAAGAAACTGAGGCAGACAGGCTTAAGTGACTTGCTTGGGGTCACCCAGCTAGTAAGTGTCTGAGGGCAGATTTAACTCAGACAGATGAGTCTTCCAAACTCCAGGCCAAGCGCTCTATCTACTGAGCCACCTAGCTGCCCTGTTGAAAAGGATTATTGGTTTATCAGATCTCTTATTCTACATTTCTGTGATACTTCTCTGCACGATTTCCTAGGATTACCAGTTTAGGCCTGGTTGATACTAATGCATTTAAATCACCTGAAAGTAAGTTTAAACCTTACTCATTCAGTAAACCAGACTTATTACCAAACTATGATATTACTGGAGATGACTTGTTTAAAATCCTAATTACTACTTATGGCTACATTTCATAGGCAGCGAGGCCCCTACATGACTCAGTATACAGAATGCTAGACCTGGAGTAGGGAAGACGCATCTTCGTGAGTTCAAATCTGCCCTCAGACATGCACTAGCTTTGTGACTCTGGGCAAGTCACTTAACCCTGTTTGCCTCAGTTTCCTCATCTGTAAAATGAACTGGAGAAGGAAATGGCAAATCGCTCCAGGATCTTTGCCAAGAAAACCCCAAATGAGGTCACAAGGAGTCTGACACAACTGAAAAATGACTGAATAACAACATATAGACAGCAGTGCCCGAGAATAATAAAAAATTATGCCACCCTGTATTTGTGTAGTACTGCAATAATGATGTTGATTGAACAGATAATATCTCCATCTTAGAGACCAGGAAATGTGCCTAGAGAGTTTAAGATTGCTCAAGGCCATAATAAATTAGAGATGGAATCAGGACTAGTGTCCCAAGTCTCCTGGCTTTTAGTCTAGTCCTCTATGACTCCAAGATAAGTTTTATGAGGATATTAAAGAGAATGTTTATGGTGCAACTGGATAAACTATGTTACTACACAATACATCTCTGTTAGCATGACCTTCTCTTTGATGAGGATACTTATTCTTACCCCAGAGATTATGGGGATGGAAGCTGTAATAGTCATGGACTTCTTGAATACTCTCCTTGTTTGGGTATTGACAGCTGGTCTCAAACTGTTAGGTTTTACTTTTCTCTCCCTGTGTAAGGCACAGGGGTAGAGGATCAAGGTGGCTTTGACCTCTTAAAGATTCTCCTTCGACAGTGAGCATCTGTAGGGGTTTGGGACAAGCTGAGAGTGCCTCTACCTTTTGTTTGTTTGCCTTTTTCCTGTTCTCCCTCCCCCACCCCCCCAGCCCTCCTTAAGGAAGTGAGTTAAGGGTTAGTAGATGCTCACCTTGGGACCTGATTTTAGAGGAGAAGGGTGGAGAACAAGCAATCTGTCCAATGCTGGCCAGTATGGAGAAGATAGCAGGTTGCAGGGCAGTTAGTACAACGAGCAACTGGAAATGAGAACAGAGTGAGAGTGCATCCTAGAATGTTACACTGTGTTTGGGGAAGAAGTGTATTTAGAGGAGAGGGACTGAAAGCATTGAGTAATCTGGAGATCATGTCATGGGACATCAGTTGAAGGAACTTGGAGAGAAGACAACAGGGGGACATGCCATGTGTCTTCACCGTCATATGGAGGGAGAAACTTGTTCTGCTTGTCTCTGAAGGGCGGAACAAGGAACAGCAGGTAGAAATTGCAGTGTTAGGTTTGGGCATAACGTAAGGAAGAACTTCATTAAAACGGTAGATATCCAAAAGTGGCATGTGTTGTCTTGAAAGTTAATTCTTTTACTTGAAGTCTGCAAGTGAAGACTAGATGACCACTTACTGGGGACCAGATGATTCTTTAGGCCTTTCCAAATGAGATTTTGTAATTCTACCTGAAGAGAGCAGAGGCCCTGTGATTTCCTAATGTAAGGATAGGTAGTCTTTTGAGGTTTTCATTCATCTTTTTCATTGTATATAGGTACAACCATGCTTATATTGCAAGGATAAGAGAATAGGGGACTCAGATATTCAAAATCCTTGTGTACTAGAAAACCTGTTAGTATAGTTTTCAGCATCTTCCCTCATCAAACATTTGACCAGAACTGCTAATCAGGAGCAATATTTATTGATTCAAAGCTCATGAAACCCTGACTTAGCTGGAGGTATTAATACATAAGCATCAAAGTGGGCAGTTGGGAAGAACAGAGCATAAAGTTTGAATTGGCTAATTCATTGATTAATCAAGTCAACCAACACTTATTAAGCACCTGCTTTCCAAGTGTTATATATAATATGATCTTCATTACCTCTGCCTCTCTACCCCTCCCTTTGCTCCCATCCATTAACTCCTGTTTATCCTAGAGCTGTTCCAAGGTACCAGTTTTCTTAGCTTAATCAAGAGCAGGTTCTGAGTTTTCCTCTGTTTCTTTGTGCTATTTCCTCATATGACCTTAGACTGCAAAAGGAAGTTGATTTTTTCTCTAAGGACATTGTTCCATTGAACCTCTGTTATATGTGCTAGCATCATATCTAGAGTTTGCTGGACATAAAAAAAATATAAACACAATGTCTGCCCTTAAGAAAATTAGAGTCTGGTTGGGGAAATAAAGCTACTTTATGTGTATTCATCAAAGAATGCTGTTAGGAATTGTATACAGAAATACTCAGATGACTCTGATCTCATTAATTTGTAAGTTCCAACAGTGTATCTGGCCATCCTTCCATGTCTGCTCATCCTGTGAGACTCTTTCTTGATTTCACTGGATACTGAGTGATTGCCAGTAAACCACTCTGGCTGTCTGTCATCCTTTGCCTTCACCCCTTGACTAATCCATCTTTTCCTATCATTCAGTTCCTTGATGTATTTTGCTCCCTTTTATTGAAGTTCCGCATTGGTTATATGTTACAGGCTCCTTAGAAAAATTGTTCTTTATATGTTTTAATTTTTTTGAGACTTGATCTCCCTACCTCACTTGGGCTAGAAGTGAAGCCACTGTACTCATACGCCCAATCCTGTACCACACAACATGGATGCTTTAAGCTGTTCCATTTTTCCAACTTGGGCCAATTTGTTCCTGAGGCAGCCTGGTGGCCCTTAGCTCCCAGGGCCCACCATATTGGTGCCAAGCTGCATGGACACCTGATTAGGTTAACTGTGCTACAGTTCATAACGCCCAAATCAAGCAATCCACCAGCCTCAGCCTCCCCCAGTAGCAGAGATTACAGGTGTGTGCCACTACATCCAGGTCATTTTCAGTTCTCTGGAAGCCATTGTATTCTATGGCTCACTGCTGTATGGTACTGCTAGTAGTGTTATTGGTGTTCAGTCATCTCAGTCTTGTCCATCTCAGAGCTATATATTTGTTGTTCAATCATTTTGTCATGCCTGACTCTTTGTGACTCCATTTGGGGTTCTTTTTACAAAGTTACTGGAGTGGTTTGCCATTTCCTTCTCCAGCTTATTTTACAGATGAGGAAACTGAGGTAAAACGAGTTAAGTGACTTGCAGGTCACACAGTTAAGTGAGGCCAGATTTGAACTCAGGAAGATGAGTCTTCCTAACTCCAGGCCTATCAGTCTATCTACTGTGCCACCTAGGTGCATGTAATAGGATGTAAACATACCCCACATATGTGAACGATAAAAGATGTAGGCTGTTTACAAAGTAAGAACTTAATATTGGTTTGGATTATTGTGAATAATTGTGAATTAATGTTTTTGGTGGGCTTTGAAAGATAGCTAAGGTTTGAATAGGTGGAGAGGAGCAGTAGGGCCTTACAAGAGCACTCCCTGCTGGGGTGGGAGGTGGGGTGCTGGGAAAGGACTCCTGCAAAAAGTGGGAACGGAGTGATCTTGAAGCCAGGGAAACTAAAGAGGGGGAGGGGAGGGGGCTGAGTGTCCAGGGCAGGGGGACAGCCAGTGCAAAAGCATCCATACAGGAGATGGAGTGTCTTGTTTAAAGAACTGTAAGTAGGCCACTGTAGCTGGATTGGAGGGTGCGTGGAGAGGTATAAACTGTAAGAAGACTGGAAAGGTAAGAAAAGGCCACATCGTGAAAAGCTATTGTTCTGCCAGACAGAGGGTTTGATATTTAAAGCTGGAAGTAATAGGGAGCCACTGGAGTTTATTGAGCAGGGGTAGGGATGGAGACATGGTTAATTCTGTACTTTAGGAAGATCACTTTGAGACCTGAATGGAAGATGGACCAGGCCAGGCAGAAACTTGAGGTGGGGAGACTGGTTAGAAAGCTATTGCGATAGTCCAGGCAGAAGGAAAAGAGGGCCTGCACCAGTGTGGAGGCTGTATGAATGGAGAAAGGGAGTATATGTAGGAGATACTGCAAAGGTAGAAATGATACAACTTGGCAGTAGATTGAATATATGGGGTGAGGGAGAGTGAGGAGCCAAGGATCACCTTGAGGTTTCAAGCCTGAGTGATAGGAAAGATGGCGGTGCCCTTGACAATAACAAGAAAGTTCAGAAGGGAGGAGGGTTTTGAGGGGAAGATAGTAAGTTCTGTTTTGGACATGCTGAGTTTGAGATATCTATAGGATATCCATCTCCAAGTGTCCAAGAGGAAATTGGTAATATATGATCGTAGCTCAGGACTAAGGCTGGTTATGTAGATATGGGAGTCATCTCTATAGGGATGATAATTGAATCCATGGGAGCTGATGAGGTCACCAAGTACAGAGTGAAAAGAAAAGAGGATCCAGGACAGAACCTTGGAGGATAGCATCTGTATTATTTTGTATTTTAGTTATTTGTATGTATATTTTGTATCCCCTAATTGTAAACTCTGTGAGCAGGGACTGTATCTTAACTAAGCTTCTCCTCTGGCACCTAGAACAATCTTCTGCATGTGGTAGGTGCTTAATAAGTGTTTTTCTTTTAAATTGTATTAACCTGCATCTGAGGAGATGAGGATATAGATTAGAGCAATAGCACTGAAAACAGAATAAGACATGAGATACTGAAAAATATTATAAAGGAAAATGTAACAGTCATAGTTGGGGAGAGTTAAAGATAATTCACAAGTTCTAATGGATAAATGGGAAGATGATTGAAAGAAGGAATTTACAAAGGAGGTTCCATTTTTGAGTATTGGCAGGGTATCCAAGTGGAGACATCTTGAACTCAGATGGGGTTATAAAATTACTGGTCAGGTCAGAGGAGTGATGATGGCTGGAAATCTGGAAGTCTGAACACTGACAACTGGAGAGCATTCTGAAGCAGGTTACTAGAAATTATTATGCCATATTGAAATCAATTGAACAAACTGGAAACCTGGGGAAACATGACAAGCTTGCTTCCAAGCATCTGAAGGACTGGTAATATAGAAGAAGGGCAGTTAGGTGGTAGATAGAGCGTCAGACCTGGAGCCAGGAAGACCTGAGTGCAAATCCAGCTTCAGACACTAACTGTGTAGCTATGGGCAAGTCACTCAACTCTGTTTGCCTCAGTTTCCTCATCTGTAAAATGAGCTGCAGAAGGAAATGCAAACTACTCCAGTATCTTTGCCAAGAAAACCCCAAGTGGGTTCATGAACAATCTGACACAGCTGAAAAACAACTGAACAACAAAACAGCAAATATTCAAGGCTGCTGTGTCTGCACATCATGGGTACTGTATGCATGCTTTTGCACTTCAAATTTTCCTTACAGTTTTAACTTCTTACCCTTTTCCATCTCCCTGATTCTTCTCATTCTTGGCTCAGTTGAGGACAGATTAATTTTCTGGCTCCCCAAACCTAGGGGAGCCCTAGGGATGCCCAGAATTCCTTTTGGGAAATTTGGGGCTAAGGTCAGAGTTTTATAGCTTGGGATACTGTTTTTCTCAGGTGATAGAACTGACAGCATTTGTGCATTTAGATGCAGTTACCTGAAAGGCAGCGAATTTGCCTCCCATGTTCTGAGCACCGAGGTGTAACCTGGCCTGGCGGAATAGGATGCCCAGGGCCCAGAGTGCCAGTAAGGTAAACACAGCAAGACTTATATTCATCCACATAGCTGTGCTTTCTTCAGAGATCTGGGTGGGTCAGAGAAGAAAGGAGTCTGTGATAGGTGAGAAGGAAAAGGCCATAAGGCCCTTTCCCTCAGCACACTGTAACATTGGGTCTTGTTTCGCCACATAAACCCCTACAACCTCTACTGTGCTGCAGCCCACCAGAATGGGGAAGGGCCCCTCTGTTACATTTACTCAGCTGGAGACTCGGGGTGTGGGATGAGGCTCCTCTTGGGTTTTGTTTCCACTTTCTGGCCCCTTCCTACTTACAAGTGCCGGATCATAGATGCCATCAGGTACCAGCAGGAGGCCCAGCAAAACAAAGACCATTTTGAGGAAGGCATACTGGAATGGGGCCAGCATCAGCAGTTGCAGCTTCCTCCTGAGGAGAGCGGGAGGGGGACGTTGGCACAGAGCCTACCTCTCCTTCGCTGCCCCATGAAGCCCTTTCGTCGTCCTCCGAGAAAGAGGGCAACCTCTGTCTTCTGGGGATTGAGACACCCTAGGTTGGTGGAAAGTGAACTGAAAAGAAGCTAAGACAGTTCAGATCCTGTCTCAGATATTTACCAGCTCTGATTTTGAGTAAGTCATTGAACTGTTCAGTCTCAGTTTCCTCATCTGTAAAATGAGGATAATAATGCACGTGTCTCCCACGTTGTGGGGAACAAATGAGAGAACGTTTTAAAATGGGATTCATCGGACCTGCCTCTCAGGGATTGTGAAGATTAAATGAGATAATAAAGTGCTTTGCACAACGCCTGGCACATAGGTATTTAATAAATGCTCACTCCCCTTCTCCTCCCCAAGGACTAAAGAGAATGGCAGAGATGAGCAAATAGAATAATTAATAGCCTGATCTGCAGTGGCTAGCTACTGCCTGGAGGAGTCTATGGGGCTGGGAGGGGAGGGAGGCAGCCTCAGCCCTAGTTCTCCCCTCAGTATGCTTCCACCAGTAAATGTTCTAAATGAGTCAGCACCCTGCCAAAGCTTTTCAAAGCATGGTTCTATGATTCTCAACCTTTTCACCACTGGTATTGTCCCACCCTGAGCTGTGGCTTTCCCCTGGTGAGTACTAATCTATGTACATTCACTCTCTCTCTCTCTCCCTCCCTCCTCCCCCCCCTTTCTCTCCTTCCTCATCTCCCCATGTCCCTCTCTGTCTCTGTCTCTGTCTGTCTGTCTCTCTCTCTCTCTCTCTCTCTCTCTCTCCCCCTTCCATACTTGGTAAGGGTGAAGCGGGGACAGCAGAGACAGCAACAGCAGCAAGGGCCAGTGTGGACTATCATTGGGGTGTCCTTCAGAGTCCTCAGCACTGCTTCCTTCCCACCAAAGCCTTCCACCATGACCATCAGTATCAAGTAAAAGCATATGGCAAAATACCTGAGGGCAGAGAGGAAGGGAAGAAGGTTAGCTGTCCTGGGAAGGAATAGATTTGTTGCCTGGGAAAGGGAAACTGTGAAGTAGGAAAGAGATGAAGTGGGAGCTTGGTCTTAGATGTTGCTTGCTGAAGGGGGAGGCAGCAGGGACTGAGCTTGTGTGTGGAACAGAGGGAGATGACAGAATGGGATCAGGGGACAGTGGGAAAGATGTCTTGATTCTAGAAACAGGAAAAGGAGTGCTCCTTAATAAGGAAGATAAGGGTACTCCTTAACAAGAACCCTGAGCTTCAGAAGAGCTGAATAACCACAGTTCGAGAAGTGTTCATCTTCTGATCAGAAGCATCTGTAATGGGGTTGGGGACGGCGGTCCTCTTTGGTCAGCCCCATGTTGGGGAGAGGTTACAAATACAGGGAGAAAAGCAGAAGCTGTGGCTGCTTCAAAGCCAAATGGGGAGGAGCAGAGCCCCAAGTGTGAGCTGTCCTCAGCCAGACCCTAGAGGGGTGCTAGGATGCTTACGTGGTGATAGCCATCTCCACAAACATCAGGGCGCGGGGGATCCAGAGCCCACAACAGCCAAATATAGACACTACCTACTTGGAAAGAATCAGAGACAATCAGTTGGGAGAGGGAGAATACCTCACTCCCCAGATGAAGCATCTCGTCCTCGTCCCCTACATCCCCAAAGTCCAATTTCTTGGGTGGGTGTGGTGTAAACTAGGGCAGAATGGCTGATTGGTCTATCATTGGCTTGACCCCAAAGACAATCCCATGACTTCAGTGGACACATCTATGCAGCTTACTCCCAAATCTGTGCCTCCACCCCTAATGTCTTCCCAATTCCAGGCTTGTATTTCTATCTGCTAGATGTCTCTGCTTGGATGCCCCACCAGCACTTTAAGCATAATACATGTGTCACTTTTTCTCTGTGGGCTTTAGTTTCCTCAGCTATAAAAGTGGCAGGTTGTTCTACATAACAATCCCTACGGTAGTTATTCTAAACCGTCTCCCTTCAATCCCCATATCTGCCCTTCCCCCTCATTCTTAGCAAGTCTCATCCACTGTACTGAAGAAGACTGAGGCCATATGATGGTGAGCTGCCTCAACTCAAAGAAAACATTGCTAAGAATTCTGAAGGGCAAGGAATTAAGACTTTAGGGATGAAGGTGGTTTTTAAATATTTTATTTTTAGGTTTTGAAAAACTGATACTGTTTGAAGGTTGGAACTCCAGAAGAGGATTGGAAAAAAATGAAAAAGTGGTTAAAAGGCAGATATCCAAGAATGGGATTTGGATTTCTGGATAATGCCATGAATTGCTTTGCTGTCCTCTTCCTCTTTAACCTCAAGTAGTATCCTCCAGATCAGAACTCTCCAGGGAGAATTATTCTACTCAGTTTTGGAATTCTTCTCTGCGACCAGAGCTGTACTGATTTAGGGAGTGAGTAAAAAACTCACCCAAGCTACTCTACCTAGCCAGCCCTGGACCTCCCCATGACATGTTGCCATCTGCGCTGCTGCTGCCTCATATACATCCTTTCTCTTGCCACCATTCCATTTTCTACCTCTTGCTCTGGTCTGGGCACAGTAGTCAATGCTAGCATTGTTTCTGGCTCCACACAGCATCCCTGTGGTTTTCTAGATCCAAAATGCCTTTCCTGGCAGACAGGATTTGAATTCAGATCTCTTTGATTCCGAGTCTAAGCTTTATCCTGTAAGCTCCTTGAGGACAGGATTTGTCTCACTTTTGTATTGGATCCTCAGTGCATAGCACAGTACTTGGCATATAAAGGCTTAATAAATGCATTTCCTTCCTTCCTTCCTTCCTCCTTCCTCCCTCCTTTCTTTTTTTCTTTTTCACTCCCTCTTTTTCTTCCTCTTTCCCTCTCTCCCCTTCCTTTCTCTGTCTCTGTCTCTCTGTCTTCCTTCCCTGCCCTTACAATCAGCTTAGCTTTCTCTCCCCATCCCTCTACTGAAACTGTTCTCCTTTGTTGGATTGTCATTTGTATGCTACCCCTTGAATGTGGATGTCCCTCAAGGGTCTGCCATGGGTTTCTTCTCTTCTTATCCTGTATTCTCTCCCTTGGTGACCTCAGCACTTCCAAAGAAGTCAGTTATCTCTATGCAGATGGTTCCCAAATCTATAAATATATCTATACTCTTAATGTCTCTTCTGAACTCCATTCCCACAGCCTGTTGAATGTTCCAACTTAGACATTCCATTGATATGTCTTGTGCTCAAACAACATAACCAGGATGCAACTCATTTGTGCCCCCAAATCTCCAAATTTCATGTGTTCAAATGTTCATATGGACTATTTGTGCCTGACCTGTGGTAGAGCCTACTGAGCTCGTTTTGGTCCTCTTGGAGAAAGAAGGACGACAATCAACCAATCCCTGTTCTATTGGTGGCACCCACCCTTCTGATCTCCCAGGTCCATGATCTCGAAACATCTATAAATTCTACCTCTCTCTCTCTCCTATAATCTCCTCTCTATTCACATGGTCACCATCCTAGTTCAGGCCCTGATCATCTCTTTCCTGGACTATTGAAATAGTCTTCTAATTGGCTTCCCTGTCTCAAGACACAGGTCTAATCACCCTTGCTCAAAAGATGGGTAAAATAAAAACTCCTTAGCTTAGTGTCTAAGCTGAAAGAGCTCTACATCTGGCTCTAATCTACCTCTCTAGTCTTATGTCACATTATTCTTCTTTATGTATTTTGCCTCCCAGCTTAAATGGCCTAATCTGTTTTCCCCCTAATCTTGACATTCCATATTCTCTGGTCTCCCATCTGTCCTCATCTCAGTCTCAAAATTCTTACCTTCCTTCAAAGGCTTAGCTCAGATGTCGCTGACTCCATGAAGCTTTTCTTGAGCCCCCTAGTTGCTAGTGCTTTCTCCCATCTCAAATTTTTATTGATCTGCTTCATAGAATAGTAATAATAGTAATAGCTAGAGTTTATATAGAGCTTTAAGGTTTGCAAAGTGCTTTACAAATGCCACCTCATTTGATCCTTACAACAACTTTGGGAGGTAGATGCTATTATTATCCCCATTTTACAGATGAGAAAACTTAGGAAAACAAAGGTGAAGTAATTTGTGCAGGGTCACACAGCTAGTAAGTGTCTGAAGCAGTGAAATGTGAGATCCTTGAGGGTTGAGACTAATTTTGAGTCTCACAAAATATAGCACCTTCCACAAAGTAAGCATTTCATAAACCTTTGTTGGAAGAAATGAACTGAATGGAATTCCTCCTGCCCTCTGGAGGAGAACTTCTCAGAGACTTGAATGGCTGAGTTTGATGGCTGCCCCATTGCTGGTCCTTCTCTTGCCCTGCCCCCCAGTTTGTTTTTAGCTAGGCAATGGGATTAAGTGACTTGCCCAGGCTCACACAGCTAGTAAGTGTAAAGTGTCTGAGGCTGGATTTGAACTCAGGTCCTCCTAACTCCAGGGCCGGAGCTCTATCCACTGCGCCACATAGCTGCCCTCCCCCCTCCAGTTTGGTGGGTCTCTCACCGTTGGAGCAGAACTGCTCCATATCAGGGTCTTCCTTTTGATGGGGCACCGTGTATTCTTGTACAGGTAAATGGCGTCCTCCACGTAGATGATGACAGAGCCCACAGTGAACAGGGTCAGGATCACTAAGATAGTCAGCTCCACAGAGTTCAACTCTGGGATGGAATAGTAATAGCAACAAGTAAGTATGGTTTACACTTACGCAGTACTTTGCCATTTAGAAAGTACTTTATTTACGCGGATTATTTAATCTGATCCTGAAAACAACCTTGGGAGTCAGGTATGGAAAGCAGTACCACTAGGGACATTTTAGTTCCTTACCCAAGGTCACAAAGGGTATCTGGGTGGTGCAGTGGATAGAGTGCCAGGCCTGGAGTCAGGAAGACTCATCTTCCCGAGTTCCAGTCTGGCTGACTCAGACACGTACTAGCTGTGGTACCCTAGGCCAGTCACTTCACCCTGCTTGTCTCAGTTTCCTCATCTGTAAAATGAGCTGGAGAAGGAAATGGCAAACCTCTCCAGTATCTTTGTCCCAAGAAAACCCCAAATGGGGTCACAAAGAGTCAGGTCAGGCATAACTGAAAAAAGCCTGGACAACAAGGTCTCACAATGTAAATGATTAACAGAGCCTATTCAGTAGTTCTACAGTTCTCCCTTGGAGTTTCTGCATGCCAGGAGACTATACAGCTAGGTCCAGATTAGTGTGAATAATGAATCCCAGGAAGTGGTCACGTATTTTCAATTCGCACTCTTCACAGGTGCAATTATGTAAGCTATGGTACTGGTTTCCAGCCCGGTGTATGCAGTGTAAATGTGAATAAGGAGACTGCTTAATGGAATTCGTTGTTTGCACTAATTGAGACCTAACTGTAATAGAAGACATGAGCTACTGTTTTATGTTTTAAATATTTGTCAGTGTGTTTACTATTAAGTCTAGGGTTGAAGTCAGAGAAATAAACCTAGGTAAGCTCTAAGCCTTAAGAAGCTGTTTATCTCTTCTGTCCTTTGTGACTAGATTCCTCAGAAAAAGCTGCCTAGAATAGGTACCTCCTCTGTCTTTTCTTGATTCCTTACAATCTGGCTTCTGACCTTATTCTGCTGAAGCTGTTCTTTCTAATGATCTCTTAATTGTCAAATCCAATGACCTTTTCTCAGTCCTTATCCTTCTCGACTCCCTACAGCCTTTGACACTGTCAGTCACCCTCTTCTTCTTGGTACTCTTCTCTCCAGGTATTAAAAATTTTTTTTTAAAAATTAATTTATTTTGATTTATCAACAATCACTTCCATATGCTTTTGAGTTGAAAATTTTTCTCCCCCTTCCTCCCTGCTGCCCTCCCCAAGACAGTGCACAATCTGATATGGGCTTTACATTTACATTCCTATTAGGCGTATTTTCACATTAGTGAAGTTGCAAGTAAAAATTAAAACCAATAGGAGGAACCATTAGAAAGAGGAAACAAAACTCAACAGAAGAGAAAAAAAAAGGGAAGACAGCGATTCAACTTTCATAGTTCTTTCTTTGAATGTGGACAGCATTTTCCATCATGAGGCCTCTGGAGATGTCTTAGATCCTTGTATTGCTGAGAAGGGTTAAATTTATCAATATTAGTCATCGCACAACGTGGCTATTATTGTGTACAAAGTCCTCTTGGTTCTGCTCACTTCACTCAGCATCAGACCATACAAGACTTTCCTGGTTTTTCTGAAGTCAGCCTGTTCATCATTTCTTATAGCACACTAGTATTCCATTACATTCATATTCCACAACTTGTTCAGCCATTCCCCAATTGATGGGCATCCTCTCAATTTCCAATTCTTTGCCACCACAAAAAGAGCTGCTATGAATATTTTTGTACATGTGGCTCCTTTTCCCATTTGTATGATCTCTTTGGGATATAGCCCTAGAAGTGCTCCTGCTGGGTCAAAGGGTATGCACATTTTTATAGCCCTTTGGGCATAGTTCCAAATTGTTCTCCAAAATGTTTGGATCATTTCACAACTCCACCAACAATGCATTAGAGTTCCAATTTTCCCACATCCTCTCCAACATTTATCATTTTCCTGTTTTGTCATGTTGGCCAATCTGATAGGTGTGATGTGGTACCTCAGAGTTGTTTTGATTTGCATTTCTCTAATTAATAGTTATTTAGAGCATTTTTTCATATGACTATAAATGGCTTTAATTTCTTCATCTGAGAACTGTCTGTTCATATCCTTTCACCATTTATCAACTGGGGAATGGCTGGTATTCTTAAAAATTTGTCTTAATTCTATTTTAGAAATGAGGCCCTTATCAGAGAGACTAGTTGTAAAAATTCTTTCCCAATTTTCTACCTTCCTTCTAATCTTAGTTGTATTGGCTTTGTAAAACTTTTCAATTTAATGTAATCAAAATTATCCATTTTGCTTTTCGTAATGTTCTCTATCTCCTGTTTGGTCATGAATTCTTCTGTTCTCCATAGATCTGATAGGTAAACTATTCCTTGTTCTCCCAGTTTGCTTATAATATCAGCCTTTATATCTAAATCATGAACCCCTTTTGACTTTATTTTGGTATATGGTGTGAGATTTGAGTCTCTCCAGGTATTCAAGACACAGCTCTCTTCTGGTCCTCCCCCTTCTCCTCCCTATCAGAGCACGCCTTCTTAGTATCTATTGGTGGATGGTCACCCAGGTCACACCCTTTAACCTATAGGTATCCCTCCCTCAAGGCTCTGTCCTTGGCTCTTTTCTCTTCTCTGTCAGCTCCCGTGGATTTAATTATCATCTCTATGCTAATGATTCTCAAGTCTATCAGTCCTGCCCCAACCTCTCTGCTCATCTCCAGACTTGCATCTCCACCTGCCTTTCAGAAATCCTGAACTGGATGTCCAGTAGAGATCTGAAACTCAACATGTCCACAGCCCAAATTCATTATCTTTTGTCCCAAATCTATCCCCATTCCAAACTTCCCATTCCTTTTGAGAGCAACACTATACTCTCAGTCCTTCAGCCTCAAAACTTGGGTGTCATCCTTGACTCCTCACTCTCTCATCTCCCATATCCAGTCTGTCATCAGGGCCTTTTGGTTTCACCTTTGCAGCATCTCTCAGATAAGCCCCCTTCTCTCCTCTGACACTGCCACCACTCTGGTGCAAGCCTTCATCACCTCACACTTGGATTATTCCAATAACCTGCTGATGGGTGAGCTTGCCTCAAGTCTCTCTCTGCTCTCCCATCCATCCTTTATTCAGTTGCCAAAATGATTTTCCTAAAGTATAGGTCTAACCATGTCACCACTACCTCCATCCCCTTTCTCCATTCAATAGACTTCAGTGGCTCCTTATCCCTTCTAGGATCAAATAAAAATTTGTTTGACATTCAAAGTGAGAGAAATGACTGTTTTTCTCTTATATTAAATAACCAGTTATTGGGGAGATGCAGGGTTTTTCCTTTTTTCTCTTTCAAAGTCCAGTCTTTCAAGATCTCTGAACTTGCCCCACTAAATTGATACACAAAGATGGTCATGCCCATGATCTTGCCATCACACACAGATGCAGCACCTCCATGTTCAAGAACTGTGAAAGTTCCCTTGTCTGATCACAGGCTTTCCATCTCTCCTGCTGCCTTCCTGAGACATACCATGATGTCCAATTCCTCTGCCTCTCAGTTCTGTGCGTTAGGTATATTCCCCTCCTTTCCCCACCTTTGGTAAACTTGTTGAACTGCACACTAACCTTCTCCCTTATCATTTTGTTGATTATTCCGTGTCAAGCCTCAGCTTTAAATCACTCCTAGCATCCACCACTTTTGCTCCTATACACGTGCTGCTGAACAAAGGTGGAAAAATTATGCAACTATTCTGACAGGGTCCATTACAAATTTATCTTACACAACCTCAACTGGACCCTTACCAATCCTAGGCAATCCTTCTGCATCTCCCTTATCAACTCATTATCCCATTTTCCACAATGTATCTTCCAAACCTTTTTAGCCCTGGTCAAACTTCTTATGGTTCTCCCTCATACCACCTTCTCAGCTGAGAACCTTGCCTCCTTTTTTTTTTTTTTGGCTAGGCAATGGGGTTAAGTGACTTGTCCAGGGTCACACAGCTAGTACTATGTGTCTGAGGCCAGAACTCAGGTTCTCCTGAATCCAGGGCCAGTGCTCTATCCACTGTGCCACCTAACTGCCCTTGCCTCCTTTTTACAGAAAAAAATTAAGACCACTCATTAAGATCTCTCTCTTCTCTCTCCTTTCTCATATCACTCAGATGCCTTCTGCCATCATCTCTTCCCTCATCCCTGTCCCACACAAAGAAGTGGCTCTACTCCTTGCCAAAGCAAACCCTTCTGCCTACAAAAGTGGTCTCATCCCATCCTGTGTCCTCTAGCACATTTCCTCCTCTGTCATTTCACTTAGCCTCTATCTTCCCTGTCTATCGGCTGTTTCCCTACTGCCTATGAGCATACCCATATCTCCTAGATCTTCAAAAAGCCCTCCCTTGATCTTTCCATCCCTGCTGACCATCTTTCTATATCTCTTCTGCCCCTTGTGGCTAAACTCCTTGAGAACTGAAAAGGTCATCTTCAACTGGTGCCTCCTCTCACGCTCTTCTTAACTTTCTGGCTCATCATTCCACCGAAACTGCTCTCTCCATAGTTACCAATGATCTTTTAATTGGTAATCCAGTGGCATTTCTCAATTCTCATCTTTCTTGAGCTCTCTGCAGCCTTTGATATTGTCAGTCTTCTCTTCTTGATACTCTCTTCTCTGTAAGATTTTGGGACATTATTCTCTTCTAGTTCTCGTCCTATCTACCAGTCCCTATCAGTCATTTGAGTTGGTAATGAAGAGATCATTGGCACTTTGGAGAAAGAAGATTCAGCTGAGTAATGAGATCAGAAATCAGATGGTGAGGGGTTGAGAAGTGATTGGAGACAGCAAGCGTAGACAGCTACTTCTTAGATTTTGGCTGAGAAAGGAAAGAGAGATACAAGTTAATAGACCATAGATCTAGAAGTAGAAGGGACTTTAAGGTCCAGGAAAATGGGTCAAATGAAGTTTTCTGAGGTATGAGGGAAACCTAGGCCTGCTTCTTTTGCTTCAACAGAAAAAGACAAGAGCTGCCTAATAATCTAGTAAGATATTGCTGATCCACATCAAACATCATACTTGCCCCTTCTCTCAGTCAGATCAGTAAATCTTCCCTAATAATCCCTTCCCTCTCTTCTAGTCAGTACTAAATACAGTTTGCTCTAAACCAGCATTCCCCAAACCGTGTTTCATGGAATTCTGATGTTCTGTGCTATGTGAAGAGAGGTTCCATGAAAAAGTCAGAAGTAATTTCCTCCTAAAATATTAAGAATGAAATTATGTCTAAAATTATCTATGGTATTTTTTATTTTCTAAAAGGCTTAATTTCCTCTCTTTTGTACCAAAATATCACCAACCTTCACCCTCTCCCTATCGGTGGGGTTTTCCATACTTTCAGGTCCCCTGGACCAATATTTCCATCAATATATTTTGATCAGGAAAAACAAGTAGATGATGAATGTCTCTTGCCCAGATTAGAACATGCATATATATGCACATTTATATAGAGCTTATCCATCAGTAAGGACAGACAGTACATATGGGCAATGAGTTGGGCCCAGAGTTTAACAGGAAAAGGAAAATGGGCTGGACTACCTTCAGGAAATTACAAAGTTTCTTCAGTGGTCCTAAGCTTCCCATGAAGGCCCGTCATTTTACTGCCAACATTCTACTGCTGATGCAAAATGTAGCACACAATAGTCTCAGAAGAGTTAAAAAGGAATAATAACAGGGGGCAAAGGACAGGTGCATACGGTGGGCATAAGCATGCTCTGACATTTAACTAATAAGAAACTCCAAAGAAAATAGGAGCAAAAACATCATCAATTGTATGATAGGAAGAGAAGATGGGCTAGTCTCATGGTTGAAGGCAAGAGATTATCACAGAGCATTCTGCTTTGTGATGTTAGGAGAAATCAAGGAAGGACTTCAACACACTGGACCCTCCCCTTCTTCCCCCTGTGGAGAACTCATGACAAGACCTGGATAAGAGTCATCTAGGATGAGCAGGCATGAATAGGTTTCACACTACATCACTAGAAGAAACTCCCAAATTGTTCTGATCACAAATCACTTTGAGTATTTGGTTCAATGTGTTTTAAGCCCAGAAATATTTCATGTAATGTTCCCTTAGCAAACAGTAATTTTTATGATTTTTAAAGAAAAATCTCGGCTTATGCTAAAAATTATTTTGTTAAAGGGCTAATGGCCTCTTTAGGAATAAACTATGTTTGACCAAAATTTAGAGTGAAAATATAGCAGAGTTTATTAATATAAATGTAAAGTTGTTTTGCAACAACCTCCAAAACAATTCCAGTTTGACCCCCTTATTTTTGTTCGTGGAAGCACCATTGTCTCAGGCTCTCAACTTTAGAGTCACCTTTGAGTTCTGACTATAATTTCCTATATACAATCAGTTACCAGGTCTTACTGATTCTTCCTTCATAATGTTACTTAAGTCTGGACCTTTCTTTTTATTCTCATTATCTCTACCTTGATCCAGGGCCTCATTACCTTACTTTTGGGTTAGTATAATAACCTTCAATTTGCTTCTTTGTTTCTGTTATCTATCTCTTCCCACCTATTCCTATCCATTTGTTCCTATATCCATTTATTAGTGTATGCACTGATGGATCATTCTAACTTACCCCTTCTATCCTGCCACTCCCTACCTCAGCAACTTTCAATGACTCCCAATTGTCTAAGGAATAAAGTCAAAACGTCTCTGTTTTTCAAGGCTCTCCACTGTTCTTTTTAGGGCTCAGTTTTTATTCCATCTCGACTATGAAGCTTTGACCAACCGCAGTGATCTCTCCCTTCTCTGAGATCCTTTTAATATCTGTACCACCCATTTGGGCACTTGCATTGAAATACAAAATAGTAAATGATTAACTCTCCAATGCCGGTGTAACTTCTCTCCCCAATTAAACTGGGAGCTCCTTGAGGGCAGGGATAATGTCATCTTTAGTTCATGAGAGAAAAAGGATTGGCATGGTTTTTTCCCTAAAGTTGTATGAATGGTTTTTGTTTTGTGCATTACCATCATTTTACAGTATTTCCCTGCCTTTCCCCTCACACCATAGAACCTGATCTCACAACAAAGAAAAGCAGTAAATAAAGCAAGTCAGACACCGAGACTGCCACTGATGGCTGAGATGATCATGTTTCCCCACTCCAATGTTCAGTTAACAAAGAATTCTATACTTCATATGTAGTAGGTAGGCATAAAGAGCAAGTTTATAATGAAACCAGATGCCTAGGGACAATTAGTTACCCTTCTCATATTTACTAACCCTTCATTGTAATCTAGCATTGCTTAATTGAATTCTAGTTTGATTCACAGCATAGCACAATCCAGCTGTTGGATTTAATTCTGCCCAAAAGTGCTAAAAGAAGAGAAAGTTTGTAGAGAGACATGGAACTCATCTGCCTGCTGGGATACCTGCAGGAGAAGGCAGTAGAGCAACTCAAGCAGCTAGCGATGGGAGGGGAGACAGATGACCCACAGAGCTCTGATCAGATTTCCCCACAGAATTTTCCTTTAGCTTGCAATTTTATGACATCTGGAAACAGCTACCTTTTACCCCCAACTTTCAAATCCATCTAGTTTCAAATCTATCTAGGAGCAAATCAATGATATGATTACTTACTCCAGCAATCTCTCTCTCTGCCTCTGTCTTTCTTTATCTCTCCATCTCCCTTCTGCTTTCTGTCTTTCACTCTCCCTCTTTCTCCTTTCCTGTCTTCTTTTCCTTCTATCCCTATCCCTCTTTCTATCTCTCTGTGTCTCTGTATCTCTCTTTGTCTCCCTTTCTGTCTCTCTCCCCTCTTCCCAACTCCAATTCCTGGTTTGGAAACCACTCACTTCTACCTTATGGCCTTAGATGTTTGGCTTGGGCACAGAGAGGTTAAATGACCTGCCTGGGGTCATATAGCTAGTGTGTGTCAGAGTCAGAACTTGAACCCAGATCTTTCTTAGTCTAGGGCCAGCCCTCTACTACAAGCACCTTTTTGTGGTCATAGTACATGAAGATGTATACATAGGAGGGCTTAATAAATGTCTGTTGAGTAATACTATGAAATAATAGAAAGGCTATTGAGAAAAATCATTATAATACTGTAAAAATCAGTTCAACATAGATACCTTTCAATACTTAAAAAAAATTGGTGAATTCATTAGTATGGACACTGCCTTTATTGATTCATATCCAAAACCTTCTATAGGGAAGAGTTTACACTTTAATAAAGGCTCTCCATGAGTTGATGTAAGGGAAAAAATCACCACCTGCTAATTAATGAACCTCTCCAAATTTAGTCTGGTCTTCTGATGACAAGCAGAGAGCCAATTGTTGGGCTCAGATCCAAAGCTGTTGTAGAGGGCAGCTAGGTGGTGCAGCACATAGAGTACTGGCCCTGGAGTCAGGAGGCTCTGAGTTCAAATCCAGCCTCAGGCACTTACTAGCTGTGTGATCCTTGGCAAGTCATTTAATCCTGATTGCCTCCCTCCAGAAAAATAAAGTAAAATGTCACTGAAGTCCTTCTAGGTTTGTAGAACCTGCTTGCCAAACCTTGGTTTGTTTTTGTTTTGTTTTATTTTTGTCACAGTCAATAAACATTTATTATGCACCCACTGGGATGCTTAGTAAGCTCTGTGCTAAACATTGGCGATCCAAAGAAAGTAAAAGACGATCTCCGCTCTCAAGGAGCTTACAATCTAATGGCGGAGATAACATGTACATGCCTATGTACAAACAAACAAGATACAGACAGGGATAAACTGAGATAATCAACAGAGAGAATTACAGGGAGTCAGGAAAGGCTTCTTGGAGAAGCTAGAATTTCAGCTGAGATCTGAAGGAAGCCAAGAGAAGCCAGGAGGTGGAGGTGAGGAGGGAGAGCGTTGCAGGTATGGGGACAGCCAGGGAAAATGCCTGGAGCTGAGAGATGCAGAGGGTCTTGTTCTGGGAACAGCCAGGAGGCCAGTGGCACTGGATAGCACACAACGCGTGGGTGGCGGAGCAGGGCTGGCGAGGTATAAGGTGTAAGTAGACTGGAGTAGTCGGAGGGGGCCAGATTGTGAAAGACTTTGAAAGCCTAAGAGAAGATTTTATATTTGATCCTGGAGGTGATAAGGAGCCAGTGGAGTTCACTGGGCTCAGGGTGATGAGGATTTGGAGCAGGACCATAATGGAGGATTATAGATTTAAGGGCACCTTGAGCAATAAAAGCAAGCAAAATAAAATTCCAAAATGAGCTACATTTACCATATAAAAGCTTATGATCAGAATCCCACTTATAGTTCCTAGAGAAGTTTATGAGGCTGGATTTCCTGTTAAGTTTTTTGAACACTCCACTAAGTAAATGAAGGCCATTTTATACCTTCCAGGGGTATATACTTTACAAGATGCTGGGTTATCTCCAGTCATCCTGATCTGTATCTTGCCACTGGACCCAGATGGCTCCAGAGGAGAAAGTGAGGCTGGTGACCTTGCACAGCCCTGCCTCACTTAAATCCAATTCATTTGCAAGTCAAGGCATCATCTTCCTGATGTCCTGGTCCTCTTTGTGACCAGAGGACAAACCACAACAGCTTTATAAGACTGTGTAATTGGGAACCTGTGCGGGACTTTTTCTTCATAATTCCCCCTCCCCCCCTTCACCCCCTTCAGATTGTCTGACTCACTAGTCAGGAGCTGGGCTGCTGTAGGAGGATGAGAAAGGCATTCTACTGGAACACTGTAGTTGATTGTCAGCACCTCGAAAAGACTGGGTGGAAGCCTAAGGGAGAAATACATCTCATTAGCTCCAATGTTCAGAATCATGGTGGGAACAGAAGGACTTCATGTAGATGGGGCTCACTCCCTGAATTACCAAATGTTCTCTCTGGGCACTGTCTTCTCCAATCATTGTGGACTGGATTCTGTAATCATTTGTAAGATTCGGATCTAGAAGCGACTTCAGAGATCCTCTAGAATCGGTCCCTCCATTTTACAGGTAAAGAAACTGAGGCCCAGAAGTGTGAAATGACTTGCCTGAAGTCACATAGCTATGATGGAGCAGTCAGGATTTGAACTCAGGTCTTTGGCTTCTAATCCAGTATTCTTTTCCCCATATGGCACTGCCTCTGGGGGTTAATCTCATTTTTGTTCTCAATTTCTCCCACTTCTACAGGGATCCCTGACATGGGGAGGACTAATGACCTTGACTCTGAAAAACCTGTCATATTCTGAGGGCAAGGCTTGGCATGGGGGGGAGGAGGGTAAAGAGAAGAGAATAACCATTTATATAGTGTCTACTACGTGTGGGGCACAGTGCTAAAACATTTTTACCTGTATTAGCTCATTTGATTATCCTTATTTACAGAAGTTTTAAGTGACTTGCCCGAGGCTATGCAGCTAGGAAGTGTCTGGAGCTGGATTTGAACTCAGATCTTCCTGACTCTAGGCAGTATTCTATCCATTGCACCACCAGTTGCTACCAGGATATAGTTGAAATCATGCTTGAAATTTTGCCTCCAATGCTCACTACCTGTGTGACCCCGGGCAAGTCACTTCACCCCCATGGCCCAGCATTCTCATCTGTAAAGCCTGAGGGTTGGGCTTGATGGTCTCTGAAGTTTCTTCTAGCTTTAGCGATGATTCTGTGGCTGCTGTCTGGCACTATCATCGCTCTCCAGGGAGGCCTGGCCCTCCTACATGTCAGTGACACAATTCCATCCTCCTCTCACCACCTGGGTCTGGCCTGGTCTGGGGTAACCAAATGGTCCAGAGAAAATTACGCCTTTACAGACTGAAGCATGCTATTTTTCACTTTCATTCTTTTTCTTTTATTTGCGTCTTCTTGTACAAAATGACTAATGTGGAAATGTTTTACGTGATTGCACAACCATAACCTATCTCTGATTGCTTTTACTGTCTAAGGGAGGAGTGGGGGGAAGGAGATCGGTATAGAGTCACATAAGGGGCCAGCGTATCAAGCAGAACCGCCGTCCGCAGGGCAGCCTGAGTCACTGGTTGTCTTCATAGCTGCAATGACCCAGAGAAGTTTCTCAGTCTCTCTCCCTGGGCTAGACCGCTAGCTCATTCCCTTTCCCTGACGGAAATAGGTTCAATGTGAAGGTTCCCACTGTAGGAAGTAGGAATAGGGCTACCTAGGTACAAGGGGTTGGGGGGGGCGGGAAGGGGTGCTCATAGCTTAGCAATCAAACTTCCAGAGACTTAAAGTTCCGGAGCTGCTTTCACTTACCTGAGGGTGCTGCTTGGCTCCATTATCCAGACTTGTTAACTGCAGTGGTCTGGCTGACTTGAGGCTGGGTGAGAGTGAAGTTCAAGATGTGCTCTGGCTGAGCTGCTGAGATTTCAATGTGGAGCTGATAGTTTCTGTGCCCAGCCTACTCCCTCTCTTCCCTCTTTCCTGTCAAGCCAAGTTCCTGGTATCAGAGTTCATTCCTAGAGAAATGCAATCCTCTCAGATCAGCTGAATGCCCCAGGTCCTGGCTCCTCCCTGATTTCCTGTGTTTCCTACCTCCTCACTCCCACAGACAAACCCTATCCCCTACTAACAGCCCTATCCCTCTAGTGACCTTTCAGGGCCAGCTGTCTCCTATCTCACCAGCAGAACAACCCAAAGCATTTAGGGTGAACAGAAATCCTTTCTCCTCACTCATGAGACTCTGGTCAGGAGATTGGAGCTCTCTTCCTCACATCTATATACCTCCTGGCTTTCTTCAAGTCCCACTCAAATTCTATATTCTTATGCCCACAGGGCTAAAAACTGTGTATACCCTTTGATCCAGCAATACCACTGCTAGGTCTATATCATGAAAACATTAAAAAAAAAAAAAGGAAAAGGACCCATTTGTACAAAAATATTTATATTTATATTGTGGTGGCCAAGAATTGGAAATCAAAGGAATGCCCATCAATTGGGGAATGGCTGAATAAGCTGTGGTATATGGTTGTAGTGGAATATTGTTGTGCTATAAGAAATGATGAGCAGGATGATTTCAGAAAAACCTGGAAAGACTCACATGAACTGATGCTGAGTAAAGTGAACAGAACCAGGAGAATGTTGTACATAGTAACAGCAATATTGTTTGATGAAGAATTGTGAATGACTCAGCTATTCTCAACAATACAATGATCCAAGACAATCCCAAAGGATTCATAATGCAGCATACTATCCACCTCCAGAGAAGGAACTAATATTGTTTGAATACAGGCTGAAGCATGCTATTTTTCACTTTCATTCTTTTTGTTTTATTTACATCTTCTTGTACAAAATGACTAACGTGGAAATGTTTTACATGATTGCACAACCATAACCTACATCTGATTGCTTTTACCGTCTAACGGAAGAGGGAGGGGAAGGAGATAGATGTGGAATTTGGAATTCAAAACTTAAAAAAAAATGTTAAGAAATTGTTTTAACATGTAATTGGGGGAAAATAAAAAACATGCATGTGTACATATATGCATATACATATATACATACATGCATATATGTATATGTCTATGTGTGTATACATATATGTATGTATATATGTATATATATACACACATGTAAAAAGAATTCCATGTGCTACTGGCCATCTTTGCCCATTCCTCTTAATGCTAGTAGTGCCTTCCCTCTGCTGATTATTGCTGCCTTATCTTGACTCTATCTTGTTGGTAGATACTTGCTTGCAGGTTGTCTTCCTCCTTAGACCATGAGCAGCTTGAATACAGGATTTGGTTTTGGTTTTTGTTCCTTCTTTGTATGGCCTGTGCTTAGCACAATGGTACATAGTAGGTATTTAATAAATGCTTGCTGGCTTGATTTATTGCTCAAAGTGGAAGGACACATTGATGAGCCATCCACCAGCCCCGTTCTTCTCTTCTTGTATGCCTCTTTTCATCTCTGGGGAGAAAAAAAAGTAGACCCAGGGCTCTCTTCATGATTCATAAACCATCCTAGGGAGCTGCATCTCAGAGAGCAGAAGCTGGAAAGGAGGGAGAGGGGCAGGTGGAGGCCCTGGCCAAACATACTGGGTTCTAAACTCCACAATTTTGTCTGAAACGTCACTGGTGAAGGTGCTGGTGGGAATAGGGCAGGAAGCAGTTTTCCAGGGCACTTGGCATTAAAATAGAAGGCGAATCTAACCACATGGGGATTTTCCATCCAGCCATCATTTATCTGTCTGACTTGAATGCAAGGAACACATCTTAGGCTTTCCGGGCTGGGGAGAAGCCTGACATGTTTCTTGCCCTCAAGTTAGACAGATAAATGATGGCTAGATGGAAAATCTACATATAGAATTCCTTCTATTTTAACACCAAGTGCCCTGGAAGCCTCTTCCTACCCCCTGCCCACCAGCACCTCTGTCTTTCTTCACTCAGTTCCTAAAGAAGCACTTGAACTCTTTGCCTGGAAGTCGGGAAGAGGTGTTTGAGGTAGTGTGCAAATATTGGTTGATTATGTTACCTTCCTGTTATTTACCTATTTCCCATTATGCACCATTTCTTTGCTAAATAAATTCCTTTTTATATTTTATCTCTAATATCTGTCCCCTTTTCTCTCCTTCTATAACCAGGAGCCTAGTTCAAGCCCTCTCTTATCTGAACTACTGCCACAACGTCTGAATTATTCTCCTTGCTTCTAGTTTCACTCTCCCCCAATCTATCTTCATTCAGTTGCCAAAATAATCTTCTTAAGGCTTAAGTGTGACCATATCATTTCTGTACTTAGGACTCTTCAGGGCTCACTGTGATAAAATGCGTATTTTCTTATGTCAGTAGGATAAAATACAAATTCCTCTGTTTGGCCTTTAAATCTCCTTACAAGGGGCAGCTAGGTGGTGCAGTGGATAGTAGAGCACTGGCCCTGAAGTCAGGAGGACCTCAGTTCAAATCCGACCTCAGACCAAACATTTGATACTTACTAGCTGTGTGACCCTGGGCAAGTCACTTAACCCCAATTGCTTAAAAATTAAAAAAAAACCACCTCCTTACAACATGGGTCCAACCTATTCCCATGGACTTATTTCCTATCACTTCACTTTACACACTCATTGTTCCAACCAAATTGGCCAACTCTTAACTTGACATTCAATTTCCCACCTCTGTACTTTTGCATTGGCAGTTCCTCCTGCCTGGAATGAATGCTATCCTTTCTCACCTGTGCTTCTCAAAATCTTTTGCTCCATTGAACAGTCAGTTCAGGTTTCCTTTTTTTTTTTCCATCTATAGTTTCTGCATTCTTTGGAATTGGGTGGAGACAGCCATGGAGGCCATCAGACTTTGGAGAATGGAGTGGATAAAGTTTCCTATCTCCAAGTGCCTATTGGATATCTTGAACTTGATGTCTCACAGACATCTTAAACTCACTGTGTCCGAAACAGAACTCATTACAGTTTCCTCTTAGATCCTCCTTCTTTCCCCATTGTATTTTCTTCTTTTCCCTTCTAACTTCCCTATTAAGGGGACTGCTATTTTCCCAGTCACCCAGGATTATAAGACAGATGAGGTCAACTGCTCATTTTCTCTCCCTTCATATCTAATCAGTTGCCAAGGTCTGTCAATTGTACCTTTGTAACACCTCTCCTATATTACTCTCTTCTTCCCCTTCTCTCCTCTGGCATTGCCACCACTCTGGTGCAGGCCATTATCACTTCATGACTTCACTACTGCAGTAGCCTGTGGGCCGGCCTTCCTATCTCAAATCTCTCCTCACTCCAATCCATCTTTCACACAGCTGTCAAAGCGTTCTTCCTTCTTCCTAAAACAAAGATCTCTCACCGTGTCACCTCCCCCACTAGTCAATAAACTCCAATGGCTGGGCAGTGAGGTGGTATAGTGGATAGAGAACCAGCCCTGGAGTCAGGACGACCTGAGTTCAAATCCAGTCTCAGACACATGACACTAGCTGTGCAACCCTGGGCAAGTCACTTAACCCCGATTGCCTCGCCAAGAACCCCAAAATAAAACAAAGCCAAACCCCCCCCCCTCAACAACTCCAAAGACTCCCTATTACCTCCAGGATCAAATGTAAAATCCTCTGTGTGGCATTCAAAGCCCTTCAGAGACCTAGCCCCTTCCTACTTTTCCAGTTTTCTCATGCCTTAGAGCCCACCACATACTCTGATCCAGTGATGCCAGTCTTGCTGTTCCTTGAACAAAGCACTCCATAATATAACTCAGGACGTTTTCACTGGTTCAATGGTCCCTCCATTCCTAGAATTCTCTCTTTATCCTGGTTTCCTGCAAATCCTACAGGAAGCCTTTCTAATTCCCCTTAGTTGTAATACTGTATATCGATCTGGCTTGTACATCACAATTTGCATATTGTCTCTCCTGTTAGACTGTGAGCTTCCTGAAAGCAGGGAGAATTTTTTGCCTTTCTTTGTTTCCCCAGCTCACAGCAGAGTGCCTGGTACATGTTAATCCCCAGATAAGTTGATTTGACTCTAAGGAAAGTCCCCATGTAGAGAGCAGAGTGCCGGAGGCTAGGCGTACTATAAGGGAGGAGGCAATGGGACAGGGCAGGGAAAGGGTATTGACCTCTCCGCTGTCTTCCAGTGACACCCTCGCCTGTCCCTGGCAGTAGGACAGGCTGACTCAGCCTCCTGAAAATCATCTTGAATTAAACATTCCCCTAGGTCATTCAACCCAGAATTAAGGTGGGAGACCTTGAGGTTAACTGCTCAGAATACTGAACTTTAGACTTGCCCAGAGCAGGGATGAGGGTGGGGAGGTTGTCTCCTAGAACTTTTCTTCCAGTAGGGCCTGAACCTGTGTTAGAGAGAAAGGATTTGGGGGAGTGGCAGGGACCTTAGACCATCTAATCCAACACCTGGGAAAGAAACCAGGGAGAGTAAGAGACTTTCACAAGGTCATACAGGTAATTAACCTGTGCCAGGATTTGAACCCAGGTGCACTGACTCCAGAAGGATTTCTGCATTAGTAAGAAAGATTGAAGTGGTATGCAGTAAGATGTAAAAATGTATTATTAATTTTATTTGAAAGAAAGAGGAAGATAATTGTGGGTCTGGAGGAATGAACTTGGTGCTGTCTCAGCCCCTAAAGCATTTCACTTTCTGTGTTTTTGTCTCATTTTCCCTTCCACTCCTGTAATCAGAGAGAGAGGATTTGTTTCCTATCCACTTCTTCCCAGGAGATTTCTCCATGTCTTAGCCAGGCAAACCAGGAAACTGATGTACTAGGGGATAAGGATGGTCTTAAGTCTATAGGCCAAACAGAAAAAGAGAACCCACGAACCTCAAATCAGAATGAATAATTTGGGGTGGAGGAAGCAGGGCCAGCTTGTTGTAGAAGGATACAGAGAAGAGAGGAGGACTCAAGAAGCTTTATTGCACTTCTACTATGGGCAGGATACTATACTATGTGTTGGGAGACAACGTTGTTCAGTTGTGTCCAACTCTTTGTGACCCATTTGGGGTTTTCTTAGCAAAGATACTGGAGTAGTTTACCACTTCCTTCTTCAGCTCATTTTAGAGATGAGGAAACTGAGGCAAACAGGGTGAAGTG